AGAAGAATGTGGAGGTAAGTTTACTAGTTTTTATGGCACATTTTAGTATTTTTTAGTAACTGCATTCATTTTCTGACAACTACAGCCCTTCTATAGTTTTCTATCTTTGATAATCAAGTAAATTTTTATATATGCAGTTTTACCCAGCCTCTTGCATGTGTTTAGGCAACTGGATTGCTGCCACGTATTAACAGCTACTGTGCTAAGGCACTGGGAGACAGTGGTAAACAAAACAGTCCTTTCTCTCACGGCATGTAGTTTAGTCTTGAAGCTAAATATGAACTGATTTAATGTGCTGATTACTCTAATAGAAATACACAACAAAATGAGATACCTATTCCATCCTGGAAGAAGCAGAAAGTGACATCTGAGCTGGATTTTGACAGATGAATAAGGATTATTAAAGTAAAAAGGGATGAAATGTGTTCCAGGCAGAGAGAATACCATGAGCAAAGTCTGAGGTGAGATATAGCATTCAGCAAATTATAAGTTGTTCAGTGTTGCTGAATCATGAAGTATGTGGTAGAAACTGCTAAGAGATGAAGCTGAAAAAGCAGCTAATAACCAGACCCCTGTGAAGTTTTATAAGCTTTGTAGTACAGCAGATATTTCATTCTGTAGGCCAGTAGTTACCAAATCTTTGTACCATAGCCACCCTCGTGGTATATATGTTAATATATAAGCAAAATAGGAAAGTCCCAAGTATAGCTATATAAGAGAATATAAATGCCATCCACCCAGATAAGTATAAAAGTAAAGATATTTCTGACAGAATTGGAAAGTGGGGGAGTGAAGAGACTTGAAGTAAATAGGTATACTTAAAGTTACTAAAGTAAGAAAAGGCAAAACAATCAAAACGATGCAGCACTGTCAAGTTTGGAACAAGAGATGGGGAATAGCATTAGGGAAATAATTAGAGAGGATATACCAGCCAAATAAACAACAGACAGTTATTTTTATTACTAGATTTTTTGCTATATAAGCATTTTAATCACTGAAATGTTTCTGTATATTAATATAAAAATACAGGTCCTTGAGTACTGCCTATCTCACCAGAAGACCCATCTATATTTCTCCTCATTGGAGTCTGCCATCAGTGTGACAAGCCCTGGGAGGACTTCACGTAGGGTATTGCTATGCTGAGGTAGATCCACCAGTATCTGGAGAAGTGGGTCTTTGAGGAGAAGAGGCAAAGAGACCCATAGTAGCCCATTTTCTCCCAGTTTATAGTAGGTCAGCCCACAATAAATGGAGGCAATAATAATAGAGACAGATAAGAGATGGCAAGATTCAAGAAATGAATAGCATGAAATTTTGGAGATTCAACTGAAGGTTTTCTCAGATTTCAAGTTATCATAGGACAAACTGAGTATGATCATATATCTGTAATCCCAATACTTGGGAAGCTGAGGAAGGAGGATCACCATGAGTTTGAGGCCAACCTGGACAACATAGTAAGACTGTCTCAAAAAAACATGAAAAGAAAGTCATAAGACAGTTTAAATGAAGATGGCAGATAACAAATTACATTTTGAATGGTGCTAGTTTTAGAAACCTGTGTTTCTAATCCTTTTGGATATGTAGACATTTGGATTTTGTGTTTGTGATGCTCTGAAAGAAAGTTACAAGTCTTTGGCTTACATGTTAGAAATTTTTCAATAGAACAGTCATCATAAGCAGAGTTTAGAGTAAGAAATGAGTCCATTTCTTCCATTCCTCATAGATAGAAGAAATTTCTGAAGGAACACTATTTCAGATAAAACTTTCTCTTTTTTTTTCTTTCTTTTTTTTTTGGGGGGGGGGGTGTTGGGGTAACCAGGGATTGAACTCAGGCCCTTGCGTTTGCCAGGGAAGCGTTTATTCTGCTGAGCCATCTCCCTGGCCCCTAAAACTGTGTCTGTAAAGTGGAATGACTGTTGATATCAGCAAGTATATGTAGGGTTTTTCTAATGTTTCTGCCTGTGATTTACTGTATTCCTCAATGTTTACAGGGAAAATATCCTTTTCTCCTGAAGTACTATGGGTTGTTTTGTTTGTTTTGGTTTGGTTTGGATGGTACCAGGGATCGAACTCAGGACCTTGCACTTGTCAGGCAGGCGCTTATGCCGCTGAGCTATAGCCCCGGTCCCCAATACTGTGGTTAATCTTGGTCATTTTCTGTAATACACATAACACATGTCTTAAACATTATATACTTCTTTTTCACGCTTGTTCACTATAAAAATGTGGCAAATGCTTGAAATTCACAAAGACTTGCTTTTTCTTTTTTCTTTTTTAACAAAACAATTTTACATGATCTTTATAAATATTGGTTACATATGATTGTACTTAATACATACCTGTTCTATTGTTAAGACATTGAAATGTTATTAAATGCTCAGATAATCTTTTTAAGACAAATACAGTACACTCTGGTATTAAATCCTCTTATATTTATGATTAACCTAAAGAATAGATTCCTAAAAATTCTAATTCATAAATTTCAATGCAAAAATTAGATTATGTATTCTAAGTTTCGTATAATTTGTCAGTGCTGTCTTTTAAATATTACCAGTGCTTTACTCCATAAAATTTCTTACAGGATTGGAGAAAATTGAACAACTTCAAAATCATGAAAATGAAGACATCTACAAATTGGCCTATGAGATCATTGATCAGTTCTTCTCTTCAGATGATGTATTTAATTTTTTTGTGTGGTTTTCTTAGTTTTATGTATAAATTTAAAGCCTGGATGAAATAGTATAGTAAGCTCAGTTATAAAATGTATTTTTTGCAACAGAATTAAATAAGTGGGGGTCGGGGAGATGGCTCAGTACAATAAGCGCAAGGGCCTGAGTTCAATCCCCAATTCCAAAAAAAAAAAAAAAAAAAGAATTAAATAAGTATGTGTTGGTCAATATCACTTGCTCTGTGAATATTTTCCAAACAATGTCACTTACTTTGTTTTTTTGTTTTTTGTTTTTTGGGTTTTTTTACAGAACCGGGGATTGAACTCAGGCCCTTGCGCTTGCCAGGGAAGCGCTTGTTCCACTGAGCCATCTCTCCGGCCTAATGTCACTTACTTTGGAAACTTAAATATTTCGTATATTTTAAAATCTTTTAAGGATATTTTAACTCTAATAACAAATGTTAAGGTTTTTTGTTTTTGTTTTCGTTTTTTTACTGATTGAATCAGGCTCTTTTACTTGATTTCTTTATAGTTCTCATATAGTTCTCTTTAAACTGATGCTAGCATAACATTTATAAATTTAAAAAGTAATATTAGCAAATTCTGTAATATTAATCCTTAACGATAGTAATTAATCCATATATACATATATTACCATTATTTTTATTTGGTGATCAAAATAAAGATAATAGATAAAGTGAAATTATATCCTTGACCGAGGAACGGTCCTCCTCTATCAGGGGTGGTCATCCTCTTCGACCGAGCGCGCAGCTTCGGGAGGGATGCGCATGGATCGTTGAGGGAGGAAGGGGACACCCGCCTAGCCAGCCAGATCAGCCGAATCAACCCTGGCGATCAATGGGGTGACAGATGTCACAGCCAGATCGCCCTCACATCCGATAAAGTGAAATTATAAAAAAGATAAGGCACTGTATAGTATGAGATATGCTATACAAAATATCTTTAGTTGTCACTGTAAAATAATATTAAAGAATTGATTTTATTATTACCTTTTTGAAAACTAAAAGCAACTGCTCTGTCAAAAATAATATGCTGTAGGTTTATAATTATGTGGGGTTTCAGGAAAAAAATAGGTATGAACCATAAATTAGTAGAACTGTAATTTTACTTTTGTAAGTCCTTATACCATTTGTCTCTACTTGTTATTAAAAGAGTAACTAGAGGATAGTGGTACAGCTCAGTGATAGAATATGTGCTTAGCATGTACAAGGCCCTAGAGTCAGTCCCCAGAACAGCAACAGAATGTTTGCTCAAGGTTACTACTACTTCATTCTTTGGAGTATTTCTTTTCTTTCTTTCTTCTTTTTTTTTTTTTTTTTGACAGAACTAGGGATTGAACTCAAGCATTTGCACTTGCCAGGCAAGTGCTTATTCTACTGAGCCATCTTCCTGGCCCCTCTTTGGAATGTTTCTAAAGTTTCTTAATTGTGTAGTCTCTTCTCTTCTTTAGTAGTCTAGTAAGAAAAAAAACTTTACAAAGTGTTTTCAGCTTTCTAAAGGATTATGGTACATAATTGGCATTATCTAGAGCTTTCTTAAAGGGTAATGGAAATATTACTATACTGCTATTTATGTATACATTAAAACTATCACATTCCTCTCTTTTCTCCTAGATTGATGAAGATCCTAGCCTTGTTCCAGAGGCGATTCAAGGTGGAACATTTGGTTTCAATTCATCTGCCAATGTACCAACGGAAGGGTTCCAGTTTTAGAAAGATGTTGTGGAAGTTAGGTACAATGCAGCACTGAGATATATATATATATATATATACATATATATAAAAAGGTTTGATCCATCAAGCTTGGCTCATGGGATCTGCTGCTGCATTAAATCGGGAAAGAAAATGTGAAGATTTCATTTGGAATCACCGAAAATGCCCAAATGAGGTCAAGATGGCGAGTGGGTGCGAGTGAGAATGAATGGCAAAATGTAATGAAAACTTTACATGGATGCTTATTTAGGTTGTTCAAAGTAAAAAAGGGCTACAGGTCACAGATCTTCAGTGCCTGAGAAGGAACATTGACTTATTCTATCAATTGAGGGGAAAGTGAAGTACTGCCATCTTCAAGCCTTGTAAGCATAAAAGAGAATAGGATGCCCATATAAGTCAAGGAAAATGAGCCCAGGCCTTGCTATGAAGCAGTGTGTGAATGGACATTGTTGAATGAATGTCTGGCTCAGTAATAACCAGATTCATCTTTCAAATCTAGGGCTCTTCACTCATGAAGCAGACTCCTAGTTCTGGAGTGACTGTGTACGAGAGTGTGGTGTGGTGCTGTATGTGAACGCATGCAAGCTTGATTCGCCTTCAGGGGGCTGATAACCTAGTAAATCATCAAAAAGTGAGATCGATCACAAGTGTTAATGTACACTGGACATGAAAACAAAGACCGGTTTAGCAGCAGACATTGGTTTACTCTGCAGCCTGTGTTTTCTGTTTTCCCTTCTCTTCCCCACCCCTAACCCTTTTTTGTTGGTTTTTGTTTTTAATTTACTTTACCTAGTATGGCTTTTTTAGTTCTTCTAAAGTCAGAAAACTTTCAGGAAGGTTTCCCTGTGCATTTGCACCAGATGAATGTTTGATGCTATGAAAGCTTTCCATATCATCAAAACTAATTTGTGTAGATTTTTGCATGAAAAAAAATCATAAATTTCCCTCAGAATAGACTGTGTTGCAGTACACAAGTTGCCATAATAGTAGAAAATGGTAAAATGTGCTTAAAAGGCCATCCTTTTCATTTTCAGAGATAACATAAAAGATCGTTGCATGAAATAAATCTACAGCATAGTTCATTTTTAGATTTTGTTGAGTCCTGTAAAGAAGAAGAAAAAGTTTCAGTTGTGATAGAAAACCGTGCTGTGTTTAAATGTTACTTGTTTTCAAACTTTGTTTTCTATGAAAATGATATGGAAACTTCTAAAATGGAATTTGGTGCATATGTACTGCTGAATAAAGACCGATGAAGAGGTTTGAGTACATGTACAAATCAAGTAATGGTTTGAACACCTTTAATAATATGCCTAATCTGTTCAGTTGTTTTAGAATCTTTTTATCTTAGATGTAGGCAGCCATGAACAATCTATTTTGAGCCACTTTAGGGAGAAAACTTTGTATTTTTAAAACTTGCATAAAAGTTATGCAAGTGTTTTTTATAAATTGGAATAATGCCTCAGTTTTGAGGTTATGCACACTAAATTAAATGTGACATAAATTAATTTGTAAAAATAAAAACTCTTTATAAGGTGGCTCATTGTAGGAAATCCTGTGCCTTCCCCTTTGAGCACAAGTGTTGCATGAACAACAGTTTGCTATAAGAAACATACCAGATTAGCCACCATTAGCATCTATATCTACTTTGTGTTTAAAAATCAACTGGTAATTCTGAAACACTGTAGAATGGATAAAAATTATTTTGTGATCATAACTCTTTGTTGAACTAGAGTATTTTTGCAGCATTCCTTGTCATCAAAAACATGGTTAAAGTTTAAAATTAGAAGCAGCAGAAAACTAGCTTGTAAAATTTATCCAAGTAGAGTACAGGCTAGGCTGTCTTGGGGAAATAAACATTAAAACTTAAAGCAATGTTTTACATGGGGTGCGTGTGTGATGTGTGGATTTTTTTAAATTAATGTTAAGCTAGAGTATAACTCAGTGGCTTCTATTAATTTATTTTTCTTAAACTTTTACCTAGAACCAACATAACAGAATTTCATAAGGTCTGTAATTTCAATATGAATATATTAAGTATTTTAGTATTATAACTGAATTGGCTTGGTTGACACCATTTTTCTTTGTGCATTCTCCCTGTTCAAGGTTTTGGCTTTCCTTCACTGTCCAGCCAAATAAACTTAAGAGAAGCAATTTGAGCCATATTTTAAATACTAATTGAACATATGGCTCTGAATAATAGGTTGAATACAAAACATGGCTTACAGAAGGCTTTTTTTTTTAGTATTGAAAGGTTCATATTTGCTAATTCTTGTTTTTCTGTACCGTCTGGTTCAAAGTAAGCCAGTGAACTTGAAATAGGCCACATTATTTTATAGAGTACTTATATATAAAATAGAATTGATAATAACATTGCTAAGTACAAGGGCTACCTGCTCTTATGGGGCATTGATTTTCTAATGCAATTCTGTGATAGGCTTTTCTACATATATGGAATTGTTTCAGTATAGTTCACCTCAGTTAACTGATTTAAACAACTTGTTATTTTTAATTCATTAGTGGTCTAGGAAATGGATTCATTAATACAGGCCATTACATCTGATGAGGGGAAAAATAAGAGTAATAAGCTAAATATTCTTGACTGTATTAAACAGCCTTTTTTGAACCCTCAGTGCTTCTCAAGTACTACAAAAATGAGAATATTAAGGTGTGTAAGAAGTTCTAGGCAAAAACATAACATTAAAATAAAAAATACAATTTCTAATTTTCAAAAGTTTCAGTAAGCTGGAATTAGTACTTTTCATTTCTGGGGAGGCTGGACCAGATCTGGAGTTGAATCCATCAGCCAGTCATTAAAAGTACATCTGGAAGAGGTTGGGGGCAGGGAGTATCACTTAGTCTTACCTTGACTGCAATTCATAGGTTTTTTTGTGTTTCTTTAAAGCTGCATTGTAAAATGCCTGGGCTTATTATAACATTGATGTAATATGTGGGACACCCTCTTCCAGTTTTTCATTGCCTCAAATTCCTCAAAATTAAATCACCCTGGCATGGTAGTTCATGCCTGTAATTCCAGCACTCAGGAGTCTGAGGCACAAAGATCCCCACTAAATTTGAAGCTAGCTTGAACCTCATAGTGAATCTGTCTCAAAACAAAGCAAAAAAGTTATAGCCAGAGCTACAATATTGAAATCTGGGGCTCTTCATGCTTGTATGGCAGAATCCATTTCCTTGTAGCTATAGAACTCATAGCAGCTTGAGTCAAGGCCAAGCTTTGTCAAGGCCAGCGGGAAAATTTCTGATCTCAGGGATGGCCCATGTCCTTTTAAAAGGCTCAGTTGAGTAGCTCAGGCCTTTCATCCCCAGGATAATTTCCCTTTTGATTAACTCAAAGCCAAACTAAGTAGGTACCGTAATTAAATCTGCCCCTTGCCTACATTCTAGTCTGATCACATGGCTTAAATAAATTCATTAGATTCACAGATCTTGCTAACATTCAAGTGAGGGGTTATACAGGGTATATTTGCCAGGGAATATTGGGAAATGTTAGTATTCTAACGTGCGGGAATATTAAGATTTTACAACTGGAGCAGTTTAGAAGTGATTACCTCATATAATGCTCATTTTTGGATCAAAATCACCTGTGAAAATGTAATGAAACCTGGACCAGCTTCCCTCCAAAAAGTACATATACATACAGTTTCCATAAAAGTGTATTAGTGGATTTGTGGAAATCTGGATTACAAAGTATATATGATTGTCTCAGCCCTCCCCCTCAAGTGATAAGAGTGGTCAGGGTGATTGGCCCAAGGTCATACAGCTATTAAGGGCCAGGTAAGGCATAGATCTCTCTTCCTATATTGTGCAGTGCTTCCATTTACCCTAGAAGTAATCTAAATTAGTGAACCAGTGCAAAGTTTATGCAGCTTTCCTTATCTTATATGTAGACAGGCCTGTTTACCGTTGGTCAAAGGCAGTTACCACAGTTTATTTGCTTTTTATGTGTAAAATTTCAGTTAGAATTACTGTTGATTATTTTGAAGGCCTAGATGTATTATTGCACCTATTTTACTTCTGACTAGTTGTATTCATTAAATGGAAGCCAGTAATTTAATAGGATTCAGAGGTAGATTTTACTGATACTCTGATCTAATGTTCCAAATACTAGCAAAATCTGTGCCTGTAACATATTGAACATTAAAGAAAAATTAAATAAGCACAGTAATAAACTTTCGGTTTTGTGGGGTTTTTTAGGGAAGGGTCTACAGGGTCTCACTACTAGATTGGACTCATAGTGATCTGCCTGTTTACAGCCTCCCAAAAGCTGGAATTACAGGCTCGCGCCACCATGCCCAGTCTCAGTTGCCACCTCAGCGTGCCCCTGGGGTGGGGCCAGCACAGCAGGCCCAGGATTGAACCTCTCGCCCCTGGGCCTGCTTGCAAGCACTTTAATCCGCTGAGCTATTTGGCCGGCCCTTATGTTTTGTTAGGATGGGAATGTAGCTTGGTCTAGTGCTTGCCTAACATACATGAGACCTTCAGTTTGATCCTGAGCATCACCATAAGTCTTTAAAAGTACGCTAGTAAGATTGTGTCTCATGTGCATTTCTGTAATCCTAGGACCCTGGAGGCTGAGACTGAAGGATTTTGAGGTAAAGCCAGCTTTGGACTTGCATAATGAGACCTTGTCTCAAAAAATAAAATTGTAAATAACATTGCTATGTTTTAAGTCGAAGCAAGATACACGTTGATAGCTGTAGGGCTTTTGTTGTTTTAGAGGGTGTCCCTGTTGTTGAAGCTGGTCTCTTCTGAGCTCAGGTGAGTCTTATCTCAGCCTCCCCAGAAGCTGGACTGACTACAGGCATGTGCCACCATATCTGGTCCCATAGTGCAACTTAAGATGAAAAATTTCTGACAGCTACTACTCTTATATAAGAGCAGCTGAGTGAAAAAGTCTGACCTACCTCCTGCCATAGGACTGCAGCATTCCTTTATCATTTATATTCTCTTTGCCCCAATTTCGGTATTCTGTATCTATCTGCCTATGCCAGGTACTTAGTGTTCCCAAGCCCTTCTTCCAGTTTTATATTTTGTAAAGATACTTTATCTCTTCAACTTTCATTTTTCTTACTCTTCAAACATAAATTCTCTCTTCCTTGATTGTATTTTATTTCTGATTTGTATAGTTATGTTATTCTATTTTGTATTTATTGTTGCTGTTCATAATCGAATACCTCAGACTGGATAAATTTTTTTTAAAGGTTTATTTTGGGTCAGAGTTCTGACTGAAGGTTAAGGGGCCACATTTGGTAATGGCCTTCTTGCTGGCAGAGTCTATGTGCATCTGTTCTCGCTCCTACTTACAAAGACACAAGAATTTAATCATGGGGGCTCACCTCTAGTGACCTTGTCTAACCCTTATCATTTTTCGTGTCACTGACCCCACCCATACTATCGTCAGATTGTTTCCATCCTCTTAATACCTCAGTGAAATTACAACACATGAAGCCTCAAGTAGCACCCAACTCATGTCACATCATAGCAATAGTAGACTGATCCCTTGACTGTGGTTATTCTCTGACTTTATATGCAAGATGTACTCCAGCCTGGTTTTACTTTTAGAAGAAAGTATCTCCACTGGAGTGGGATCCCAGCATTCTTTCAGGCTGAGACAGGAGAATCGCAAGTTCAAGCTCAGCCTGGATGACTTCACAAGAACTTGTTTCAAAGGGCTAGGATGTAGCGCTAAGTGAAGGTACTGGGTTCTATCCCCAGTATGGAGGAGGCCACTCCAATAATAAACCTACAAGCTTTGTGGTCCGGTTTCCTTCCAGATAATGCCTTTAGTGCCCTGTGCTCTCCATTGCTCTTAAGTTGTGAGCCACCTTTGCACATCCTTCGTATATAGTTGCCTCTGTGTGTGTGTGTGTGCAAGGGCGCACAATCAGATATCATTTAAGAAATTCCCTGTAAAGTTTGCTGCAATTTCTACATTTAATGATGTTTGAGAACCCACATGGGGGTAGTTGTTAAGCTAAGAAGATAGGGGCCAGGGAGATGGCTCCGTAGAATAACTGCTTCCCTGGCAAGTGCAAGGGCCTGAGTTCAATCCCCGGTTTCACAAAAAAAAAAAATGAGGTTAGGAAAACAAAATCAATTAAAATATAACTGGCTATTTGCATACTAAGCACACCTACTACTGAGCTACATCCCCAGACTCCCTCTTTACTCCTTAGGAACAGTGATCCAGTCCAACTTTAGAACTTTGCTGAAGAGGGAGTTCTCTTAAAACATTTTAACTCGTAATGGTAAGATCAAAGTAATCTTTCCCACAGTACTAGCATACTTGTTGTTCTCTAGGGTTGCCCACCCTTTCACCTGAACATAAAACAGACCTCCAGCCGTTTCCTTGTAGATCTGCCAATGTGCTGCCTCCATAAACAGCTGTATTCTGCACAGATGTAATGGCTCCCAGGGGAGTGTTCAACGTGCGCTGCCCCCGTAATGAGGAATTCTGCCAGTCTGTTGTATCCAGACCAGTGATCTTTAGAGGGTTGGGTGGTGTTTGAGCTTTATAGGTTTTCACAGAACAGGTGCAGAGAAACTTACCTTCCCCCACCTTTGAACTAGTTTGGGATTGTCTACAGCAGATTACCTGAATAAGTAACTTTGTTCTAGTCAGTCAACTCGGACATGTAAAAAGAATACTCAAATTTTGTTTCTCTGCCCTATCTTCCTCTCCGAGCTGCAGGGAGCCAAAGAGGCAGCAGAGAAAGTGTCTTGTTTTCATCCTCGTTTTTCTCGACTTCATAGGTCCCTTGAATATTCTAGCTATCTCAAAAAATAAGGAATATATCTAAGACTCCTTGCCATCCTTGCCATCCCCATTAACCCTCATTTTGCAGGATATGTTTTACATTTATGGAAT